TAACCCCATGTGACATCCCTTGTGTAAGCATGTCAGTGCTTAAGTGTGTAGGAATCAGTGTGGAACTAATCAGGAGCCCATGGGACTGGGGGATAGCCCCACCTGATCTCATCATTCTAGTGGTCCATTCCCTGTTTCAGCAAGCTTTATGCAATCCTCTTAGATCCATAAGGTCTCCTTGTCACACACTCTCCTTGTTGTACCCATTTCAGCCTAGAGACACTGATTGGACACAGTGCAGAGGAGTTGGAGGAGCCTTGGGTGAGAAAGGAGATGCCCAGATTCTCATTTTAGTTGTGCCATTTATTGGCTACTTGTCCTCGGGAGTCGTTCGCCCCCTGGCTCTCACTTTCCTCATCTGGCAGCCCTCTCAGCAGCATTCTGAAATCTGTGAGGTTTCAGAAGAAGCTTTGAGTTGATGTTCCAGGCCAAGTCGTGCTTTCAGTCTCCTGCTTAAAAGTCTATCAAGTTTTGGGGCATAAGCGTGGAGGGGGAGAATAAAACCAAGGCCCCTTTGTCAGCATACAGCTTTAGCAGAAACCCCAGATTCTTGAAATCTGTGTAGTAGACTGCAAGTTTCTTCTCCTCGACAGCACAGCCCACTGACGCTTTCCAGTTGACAGCCCAGCCAACTGGATATGGGCTGCTATGGCTTCTACTGAGTCATTCTTGGGATTGCCATCATTTTCTTCTTTCGGTTGGGGCTTGAGGTGGTTGGAAAGAATGCATGGCAACCAGCCATGCATCTGGGACTTGGAGCCTATCAGCTCCCTGCTCTTTGATAATGGAATAGTCTGTAAACTTCTTACCTGCTGGAGAAAACTTTCCCTTAGAACGTGACTGGTAGAGCATCTCATAGCTTACAGTTACAAGCAGAAGCTTGGTTGTAGATCTGGGCAGAACCCTGTCATGGCCCTCTGGAATAGCATTGATGTGTGGGGGTTCTTTGCTAAAATGATTTTCATTCTGTGTTCCAGGGAGATTCAGGAAAGCTGAAGTTCATACTTAGAACCTAGGTCTGTGGGTTTTTTTTGTTTTTTTTTTTTGTTTTGTTTTGTTTTGTTTTTTTTAAAAAAAAGCTTGCATGATCATAAGTACCAGCTGGAAAGTTGTTCAGCATCCAGATGCCAGGGCTCCTTGTCACCCTCATGTAGTCAGAATTTCAAGGGGAGGGACCAGGAAATCTGTGTGTTCCAACAGGTGCTCCAAACAGGCTGGTGTGGCAAATGCCATACTAGGTAGCCACCCAAATATTTTCCTAGTTCAGAAAAACCTTAATCTCTTCCTTTTTGTGTGTGATGTGTGGCTGCCATGTAGCCAGCCATCACATCAGGCTGTAGAAGATACTTGCTATGCCCTTGTTTTACCTCAACCACATCCAGTGCTCCGGGCCTTTGCTTCCCAGTACATCCACACGGTGTCCAAGGACTTGCCCCCTTGTTTCCATGATAATAGCCAATCACATAAATCCGTGTGGGGTACAAAATATGGATATGGGTTCCAGTGATATCAGTGATAGCCTCTCAAGAATGCTTATCTTTTAACCCAGGAATGCAAATAAAAATCTGTATGAATTTTAGATGTTATAAAGCACTGTCTCATAGCCTTTTGAAGCATATTTGTTTTACAGTTGATAAAACAAAGCCTCAGAGACATTTAGAAGAAATAGTCCACCTTTAGGATAAATGATACTCTTAGCGATGTCCTTCCTTTCCTGTGACCTTTACACTGTAGAGTGGGCCACTCATGGTATAAAGGTTTGAGTGACGAATGATAGAATCTTAGGCCTTTGTCGCAGGTGGTGAGGGAGGTGTTCCAGAACCCTGGAAATGGAGAGTAGTTTTCTTAGTGACCGCACGTGAAAACCACTAGCCAGTTGCTTATCACATGGGTGGCTGGCAGCCCTCCCAGCAGCATAAACAGCTAAGCGCAAGTCACTGCAGCTGTGAGAAGAAAACATACAAGATTGCTGTCCATGAAAAGAGGCCCTTGGTGCTCAGCAGAGGGTCTCCTGCAAAAGCCAGGGCTGGCTTGGGAAGCTGGAGACTCAGGCAGCCAGTGAACATCCTGAGGGTGGGGTGCTTCTGGAAGGTTCCGAATCACTGCCTGCCTGATCCAATAGCGCTAGGATGAGTTCATTTGTAGCTCTTAGTAAACACAGCTGTTGTGGTTGTAATTTGCCTGGAGGCTTTTTGCTATTACTCCAGCCCTAACAGTTTGGCAGCCCATTTGGGATCAGTGGTGTTGAGGGATGGGAAAAGATGTTGCTGTCTGAGAGCAAAGAGAGAGGAGCAGCAGCCACCCATGGACAGAAGCCACTGAGCGAGTGCAAGTGTGTGGAAGCTGTGCTCCGTGGGCAAGGAGGAGGCAGCGTCTCACAAGTGACCCAGGGGCCTCCGGGGCCCAGACGATGAGCAGTACAAGGAGAGAAGTCAGAGGACCCCTGTGGAAGGTTGTTAGAAAAGCATTGCAAGATTGTTCCCCTCAAGTGAAGAAAGGGTTGAGAGCATTCTTGAAGGGAGACAGAACTGTAATGCTTCTGAATTTAAAACTATCTGAAAGGCATGGTCTTCTGAATGTGATTGGGCACAGATTTATAAGAATGAGGTAATTATGTGACTTTTCCACCTAAATAAAACATTATTAAAGTATAGTTTGTAGGAAAGCATAGTTTGAATGAGAATTCTAGGCATAGTCCATATTCTGAGTATGGTGACTACAGTGGTCCATCCCAGACAGCAGGTGGTTGGGCTGGCAGGAGATCGCCTCACTGTTCAATACTGAGATACTGCGGTGCTCCCTCTAGTGTTCCCACAGAGCTCCTTGCGGCATCTCAGCCCTCCTAAGGTGGTACAATTCAGGTGTGCAGAGACAGTCAAGGGCATTGCCACCCTCCCAGCTCCACAAAGGCTTCCCAGCTGGGGAAGAAAAACTGGGGTCTTCATTTGGTTCAAGGGTGAGAATCCCTGAGGCTGCTCCCGCTTCACCTTGGGAGAATAATGTTCATTCCTTGTCAACATTAGAGGTTCAGACACAACAAAAATAGGATGATTTGGAACGAGTTCTCTATGGTCCTTATGTCAACCATTGTTTGAAAAGTCAGCCAGTGGAGCAAAATCCCAGCAGTAGAAGGAAACAGCAATGTGGATTTCTGCCTTTTACTTGGAGAGGAAAGCAAAATTAGATGTATGATTTTAAAATGGAGGTGGAGAAGCAATTCTTAAATCTGGGAAGGGGATTCGTTTAAGCCAGTGGAATGTGTTGGGCCAGTTGAAAGAATCTGACCTCTTTTCAGTGGCTGTTTATGCTGCCGTGAAGAACAGGTATATGAAGCGTTAGTATGGGTTGGCACCTGGGGCTTCCCCTGCCAGCTGGAATACTTAAACAATTTTTGGTAATGAAAATTATGAGATTTACCCTGTGGAACCTTCTACATCAGTGCAGATCTTTGTCATAGACACCTTGAAACGTAGGCCCTGAAGGACAGAGATTGTTGTTGGAATTTTATATAAAACATACAGATTGGAAATAGACTTTACAACGTGGAGTATTTGTTGGAAGCAGATTTCATCCTTCAATGGCAAGAAAGGGTATTATGGCATTGAGAATCAGTGATAAACCAATTTAGAAAATATTTGTAATATATGTGCTTGTAAAGCCGTATTTAGCATCTATATACAATTCTGTACTTAAAACCATATATGCAGCATATGCTCATAAAATCCGGTGGTGGCTGTGCAGCCCTCAGTAGTGAATGAGTCCACCTGCAGTCAAGATAATCAGGACTAGGCCGGACACAGTCGTTCACGCCTGTAATCGCAGTACTTTGGGAGGCCAAGGTGAGCTGATCACTTGAGCCTAGGAGTTTGAGACCAGCCTCCTGGGCAACCTGGTGAAACCCTATCTCTACTAAAAATACAAAAATTAGCTGGGTATGGTGGTACGCTCCTGTGGTCCCAGCTATTCAGGAGACTGAGGCAGGAGAATTGCTTGAACTGGGAGATCAAGGCTGCAGTGAGCTGAGATTGGAAGGGCCTCCAACTCCTATTTGAGAGAGAAATGGCTAACGCTTATGCTACCAGATACCAGATGTGTCCAAGGAAGTACCCTCGGGCTTAATTCCAGCAGTCCTTGACAGAGTCCATGTGGCATGTGCTACATCCAGCATACCTAGCCTCTTCTGCCAGCCCTGCTTAGAAGGCCTTCAGACACATTGTTTCCTGACGTTGGCGTGGAGGGTCAGCCAGTGTACCAGTTTTCAGTGGATTGCTGTTCAGCTCCAAATTCATAGTTTCTAATTGCTCAGTGAAAATGGATCTGGCCCCTGGAGATATGTTTTCTCTGTGGCTGGCACCGAAGCATTGTCACTAGAGGGAATGGAAAGATGCTACAGGAGAAAAAGTATTTTGAATCTGGTTCTGGGGAAGCTTCTACAGCATCAGGATCCTGCCCCCCACCCAGCACTAGAGAGGAGGGAAGTGGAGACCGTGTAGGGGAGCAGAATGTGTGAGCTCAGGACTTTGCGACTGGGAGGCAGAGCCCATAGCAAGGTTGTCATCTTTTATAATTCTTCTCTCTGTGTGCTTTACCTTCCCCAGGGTCAGATCTACTTGACAAGGCACTCAGGCATAGAAGTGTCTATCAAACCCTAGAGGCAGTATACAGTTAAGAGCATGGGCTTTAGAGACAGACTGGGATTTGTTTCCAAGCTGTGCCATTTACTGTCTGTGTGCTGTTTTACTGGACACTTAACTAATCTAAGTCTGTGTTCTCAACTGTTAAATCAGAACAGTAATCATATACAGCTCACATGGTTATCTGGATTACTTTTTTTTTTTTTTTTGAGACAGTATCTCGTTCTGTCACCCAGGCTGAAGTGTAGTGGTATGATCTCGCCACCTGTGCCTCCTGGGTTCAAGCTATTCTCCTGACTCAGCCTCAGGAGTAGCAGGGATTACAGGTGCACACCACCATACCCAGCTAATTTTTGTATTTTGAATAGAGATGAGGTTTTGCCATGTTGGCCAGGCTGGTCTCGAACTCCTGACCTCAGGTGATCCACCTGGTTCAGCCTCCCAAAGTGTTGGGATTACAGGCGTGAGCCACCACACCTGGCCAGGATTACTTGAGATGATAAGTGAGTGCATTTAGTGCAGTGCCTGGCATGTAGGAATGATTATGTTCTGGCTGTGGTTGAAGCCCTCGGCTTTCAGTAGATAATAAGATTAGATAATTTGAGCCTTTTCTACTCTAAAACCCACACAATAACATGGGTGCCTCAAGCCTTCTGGCTTTTTCTCCCTTTTTCCTGCTTTCTGTTCTCCCGTTCTTTCCCACCTTTTGCTTTCACTTTTCTCAGTTCTTTCTCCCTGTGTCTAGACTTTTGCTGTTATGAATTAGCAACGGTCTAGTGAAACAGTGTCAATATATTGTCTTAGTCCCTTGCAGAAATGTGTGTACTTTAGTTCTGCATATTTTATCATCTTCTGATGGCTCGCTAGTATTCCTGTCTCCAGGATCAAGTATTCTCTTCCAGCTTTGTTCTTTCAGGAATAAAATAGGGAAGTGTTATTGAGGCCACAACCCAAAAGACATATGAGTCACAGCTTAGGAATAGACATAGAGGTCTTAGTGTAAGCAGTTTCTTGTTCTTGCAAGGAAACATCTGTAACTTTTGAGGGCTTCCCTTTGCCAGCTGCATCAGGAGTATAAAGAATTAAGTTTTATTCGAGTACACCAGGAGACAGAGGCAGCCTGCCAGCACCTGCAAGCCCAGGGAAAGTGGCTCTGTGGACGAGTGCTGCCTGTGACGGGACTGGGGTTCTTACCAGCGAGGGATCAGGGCTAGACTGCAGGCTTTATGAGGGTAGACACCCCATGGTCTTACTCACATTCATATCCCTGGTGCCTAGCCAGGCCCTGGCCCCAGGAGGTACAAAATATGTATTTCAAGAGAATAAAAATGTGAACATTTGGATGGAAGTTAGCCAGTCCTAGGAGCACGAAGTCTGTTTCATCCCCTGTTGACAAGAACTCCAGCTCTTCTCATGGAAAAGAACAAATCAAGTGGCTTGCATCTTAGAGCTGTGTCCTTGTGGTGAAAGGATTAGGCCATGGCTCTGCACTTTTTCTTGATTCCATCACTTGCCCTGTGGGCTTGGGCATGTTTTAACCTCTGTCAACCCAGTTTTGTCACCTGTAAAGCAAGAATGACACTAACAGTACTTGGATCATAGGGCTGTAGAAATGAGATGAAGCATGTCAGGAAGTGCATAGTATAGTGTTTGGCATGTATTAAGTTCCCAAGAAAGGTTTGCTTGGAGCTTCCTTTCCCTAAGACAAGGAGGGTGTCGTTCAAACTTAGAGATTTTTAGCACTAGGAAATTAAGAGATCGTTTTCTGGTCCAGTCTCTCCCATCCTGAATTTCATCTGTTAAACAGGCATGATAATACTCACCTCACAGGATTGTGGAAAGAAATAAGCTAGAAATATGCATGCGGCATAGTTTCTTCTAGAGCGTAGTAAATATTCAAATGGTAGCTGTTATCTTATTAGCATAACATACTAATTTATGATAGCACTGAAGTTAACCTTTTAACAGAAAACAGTAGCACCAGTCTGGCCCGGCTCTATGCTGTTGTTAGAATGCAAGTGCAACCCTCTTGGCCTTGTTTTGCTGCAAGTGGAGTGGTTAAAAAAAGGGGACATGGATTATAGGCAGACCCTCTGCTTCTCCCCTTGCCACCCAGCCTTGCAGTCTTGGGCAAACTGGTTATTCATCTCTATGAGCTTCCATTTTTTTGTCTGTTACATGGCAGGTTCACTGTGAAGCTCTCATGAGAGAAGAGTATAAATACCGATACCATGTTGGAGTAGTAACCCTCATTTTTCTGATTATATCTTAATTTAGTATTTCACTGTCCTGCATAGGGTCAGATATTACCCTGTTTAGCTCTCTTATTTCTGCTCCACCCAAACCAAGTTGGTTGTATTCAATTTTTAACTTAACAGAGGGCAAGAACCTGGTTTCATTCATGAACAGTACTTACAACTATAGAGCAGACATTGTTCTAAGGTTTGATAATGAAAGAGTAAACATGTTGTGTGCTTGCCCTTATGGATCTGATACTCTAAAGAGAAAAAAGAAGGTAATACACCATTAAATTAATATATGGCACAGTGATATGTTCTATGAAAAATAAAAAAGGTAGAGAAACAGAATGATGAAAGTTGCCCCCCCCCTTCTTTTGCTCTTTTTCTCATATGCTACCTCCCCTGCCTGCATCCCAAATTCCGATGAAGTCCTTGCAAATAGAAGAGCCCGTGTAATTCTTTGTGGAAATGAATTCTGAACTCTGAATCATGGGAAGATTGAATTTTGCCTGATTATAATGACTATTTAGAATAGCCTGATTATAATGACTAATATAGCTGGGTATGGTGATGTATTCCATTAGTCATAGCTACTTAAAAAGATGAGACAAGAGGATCACTTGAAACCGGGACAATTGCTTGTATTGTAATTTGCCATCATCATGTTTGTGAATGCACTCCACTGCACTCTAGCCTGGGCAACATAGCAAGACCTGTCTCTTACCGTCTCTTCGATTTGATTCGATTGATAGGAGAGATTAGATGAGTTAGAGAGAGAGAAAGAGAGAGAGAGAGAGAGAGACTAGATAGAATCATTGTAGTTCCAGGAAAGGGCGGTTGGCTTCCTACTTTCCATGGAAACTCAAACAGTTTTCAGAAATCTTGTCCAGGCTCTTAAATGCATGTCTTAGTCTTAGCTTCTTCAAACTTTGTAATTGGCTTTTGTGGACTTGGCCTTTAGGTATCTTCTCTAAATCATTTCAGTTTGTAGTTCAATTAAAAGTTGATTTTTAGCTGCTTCCTGAACCCTGCTTAATCATGGACATAGGTCTTTTATGGTAAAAATAGATTTGAAATGTATTTTTTAATACAAATAAATTATTATTCCAATAGAGCCTAGTTATATGAAATAAGTTTGGGTTTTCAGGAATTGAGAAGTGTCTGGCCCCATTCTTAATGCTACCTAGAGTTTTGCTGTGGTTCTCAGCCAAGCTGCTGCTCTTTGGAATTACCTGGAGAGCCATTCAAATCCCAGTGACCACCAGGTACGGTGGCTCATGTCTGTAATCGCAGCACATTGGGAGGTCAAGGCAGGAGGATCACTTGAAGCCAGGAGTTTGAGGCTGCACTGAGCTATGATAGTATCATTATACTCCAGCTTGGGCAACAGCAATATCCTGTCTAAAAAAAAAAAAAAAAGTCCTGGTGCCCAGGTCCAGCCCCAGATCAGTTAGATCAGAATCTGACATTGTGATAGAAGCTCCCCAGATGATTACAGTATGCAACAAAGGTTGACAACTACTGTTCCAAAGACTTCTATTATATCTACATGGAAAGAATGAGGCTGCCAGGAATGCTTCTTTAAAGAGTGTTTTCAAATATAGTGTGCCTGAAGATCATGGGTGGAGCTAGTCAAAAGCAGTACCACCCCCAGGGATTTGTCTGCAATAAAGCTAAATAGGGTCTTAGGATCACGATTATTCTTGGTGATTTGATACAGGTAGCGGGGGAACCAAACTTAGGTAGCGCCTTTAAGCATGTACCTCCCCAGCTAATTCTTGGGCATTCCAGGATTGAACGCTGCTCTGAAGGTTTGGACCAGAAGATCTTTTAGACCAGAGATTTCCAATTCTCAAAGTCCTGGTTATCTATTTCTACCATTTCCTTTGTCAGACCTGCTGAGGCAGACTGAACATTGGGGCGGCCAGACTTGCCCCCAACAGCCACCATAAATTTCTGCACCCACAGCTTGAGCTGTGTGCACATCAACTGTTGAGAGAGTTTACTCTCAAACCTGTTTATACCATATACCTGTGTTGTAATTATGTAGTATTATTAACACATAAACTGATGAAATACAAATGTAAAAAGTAAGAGCACTCACTTCTAGATAAACTTAGTTGGTAGCTTTGGAAAGATTTGATAGAGGTGAGTCCTTTTAAAATATTGCTGTTAAATTTGGGGTAGTCAAGACACCAGTAAAATAATGAGAAATTCACAAAAATGTGGAGTCTGAAGTTACCCTGCTCTGCAAGTATTTTTACACTTACCTGACATTTTAAAGAGATTTCAGAGGCAGCATTATAGTTTTACGGTAAAATGTTTGTAGTATATAGGTATCACTTTTTGTTTTGCCTTCATTAAAGGATTCTTTCTATTAACTCATCACCTATTTCTCCCTCTTCTGAATAAAAAAACTATGAGCAATGATGTCTGCTATGGGTAGGTAAGACTGCCGTGATTAACCATTAACATACTCACCTGAGCATTTAATTTTCTACTTATTATTTAAACAATACACAATTTAATGAACTTGTATTTTTCTTATAAAAGACCAAATGTCTCCCATTTAAATCAAGGACTGAAAGGAGAGTATTAGTCAAGTACTTCATTACTAATCTAGCTATTAAGCTATACTTCATTAAAAGATTTGCTTTTGAAATTATCTTGTTCTTGCTGGCTGCCGCAGGCTGTTTTAAATACTGCTGTTGTCCACTTCTGCAGCTGGAATCCAGTTGTTATTTTTATATTAATAATACAGGGATTAGCCTCTCACCATAATACATCTCAAAGCTCTAAATCAGCAGTTCACAAACTCCGGCCCACATACCTATCACCTATTTTTGTATAGCCCATGAGTGAAGTGTGGTGTTACGTTTTTAAACAATTGAGAAAAGAATCAAAAGAAGGGTATATTGGACATAAAAATTTTATGTAATTCACATTTCAATGTCCATAAAGTTTCAGTGGGACACATCTAAGGCCATTTGTTTACTACTGTCTGTGGCTCCTTTTGAACCTCAGTGGTTTAAAAAAAAAAAAAAAAAGTCATTATCCCCTCACCCAGGTGCATGCTGTGCCCAAGTCCTAGGCCTTTTCTCTGTCTCTTCAGGCATACTTACTCCTTCCTGTCCACCATCCTTGATGGAGAGTTTGTTTGGAACTTGCCTTTGAAAGTAAATGTGTTGAATGTAACTGGTTCAGTTTTTCAGGATTCTTTCTTCACCGGCTTCATTGGAACCAATCCCCTCCTAGTTCTTACTAGAACTATGAATATTAGTAAAACAAAATCTCAGTTGTTACAAAAACATATTGATTCTTTATAACTGTTTGATTTTTACAAATACACATTTAATTTAGATTTCTCAAGAATACATTTGATGGTACCAGAAGTACACTTACCTTTTGGAAGCTTGATGTACAAGCACTTCGGCTAGATCATGTTACCTGCATTTCTAAAAAATCTTGAAAACTGCAGATTAAAAATAATAGGACTTATGATAAAAGTAAGGGCCAAACCACTGCAAATGAAATCTACACTTTTTTGGACAACAGCAGTTATAAAAATAACAATCCAAATAAAAATTGTAGCAGAGTGAAAACATTTAAAACCTAAAAAGCAAATACTAAATATATAACTTTACCTTTAAAAAGGTCAAATTAGCATGCTGGAGGTGGGAATGGTTTGAGGCTACTTTTAGTTTATAGAAAGAAGGGTAAGATGCACCTGACCTTTCCTGATGGAAGAGAACTCCATGGGAGCATGTCCAGGGCAGAGCCATGGCCACACATACCAAGCTGGAAACTAGTCTTGGTGTGTAGCACTGTACCCTCTGCAGATTACTGCATGTAGCTGAGTAAATGTGTATTGTATTAAGCTGCTATTATTGATTCTACAAAATATTAATGAACTGGAAAAAAAATGGTATCTGAACCAAAGTGACTTACATGGCTCTGTTTACGTCGTTCCCCACTTACCTTCGTGTATGAGCTAATTGACATTAGAGAAACACACACTTTAGCAGAACCGATTGTACTTCTTTCTTCATTCTCTGAGTCTGTCTCTCCAAATACTGATATGCATTAAACGGCAACAGCAGCAAAACCTGCCTCACAATAACCAGCAAAAAATCAAGCAGATAACAAATAAGCATTAAAAATTTCAGGTCAGCATTTGTATTAAGACAGCATGTATATACCACAGTATATATTAAATCCAAAGAGAATGAAGAATAAGTGTGACTAGAATGTCATTAGTCACTTAATCCTCCTTGTGCCATCAAAAGCCCCTCTTTTCCTTGCTATTGGCTCCTGACTTGAGAAGCCCTCAGCTGCTGATTGAGTAGAACTGGGTGTTCAATCACAGACCTAGGGCAGAGGGCAACATCATTTTTAATGCCACCAAAATTCGAAGTAGTAAGGTAAGCCTCAAACATCAGGTTCTAGACATATGTCTACAGTTTTTATAAAGGTACACATATAAGGTTGGATATTTATAAATACATATGGAATGTAATAAGGCATGACAATTAAAAAAGGAAAAGTTTTGACAATATGACACTAGGAAAACATAAAGCCACTGAAGATAATGAATACTCAGCGTTCTTGGGAGGAGGAAGAAAAACAGAAGATTAGGCTTAATAAAATGCTTATTGAAAGGAAGATCAATTTAGCAGGGTTTTTTTGTTTGTTTTTACTTGGGGCATATAAAATAAGGTCATATTGGTTCTAATAGATGGTGGAAATATGGAACAGCTAAGAAGCTGTGCTAATCAACAGCAGAATCTCAGAAGATGAGATAAGATATAAGAAGCACCTTCTTGTCAGCCAGAATCACATCACAGTAAGCACTGAGAACTTTCTGATCCAGTGACAAATTCTCAAAAAGTTGTCAGGGTAAAAATTTTGATGCAAAGTAAAATAATGTGTTATTTTAAGATGTGCAAAATTAGCTTGCTGTTGGACTATGGAAAAATCACCTAAGAATCAGGATATGAGAAGCTGTCAGGGGCAAAATACGAAATATTTGAACAAACCATTGATGGGAAAAGCAAAAGACAGGAATGACCTCAGAAAAGTTAGAAGAAATGCCATTTAAACAAGGGACTACACAGATAACAGGTAAAATTCCTGTAATCAGAATATGCAAATGGATTGGTGTATTAAATTAAGAATTGCATTCAAATGTGAATATTAGATTATACCATAAAAAATTTCTTAAAGAGTTTCTTTTTTCACTTAAAGACAAGTAAATTGGGCTGCTTCAGCGATCTGTTATTAGGGACTCTAGCTATTTCTGTCTTTCAACTCTATCATCTTCGTAATGACATCCGTCCTCAGAGGCACTCTTGGTCCAAGATGGCTGCTAAGGCTTTAGTCATTAAGGCCTCAATTCACTCAAGAGGCAAAAGCAAGAAGATAAGGATAAAAGAGTATACATTTCTCTGCTGAGGCAGCCCCCTCTAAAGAGCTTTCTTTGAAGCTGTGTCTAGCCTTTACCTACTCCTAGTTACTAGGGAGATGAGGAAATTTCAGCTGGGACTACTGCCCCAAATAAAAGTGAGATTCTGTTCATAAGGAAAAAGGGATATTTTTGCATTAGTTGAAGGGGTAGAGAGGGTAGTGCTATATGCTAAGGAAATGTGTATATATGGGGCATCTCAATAAGCAAAAGTTGGAGTGATGATTGAAATAGAAAATAACAAAATATTAACACACTAAGAATACACAAGATACAACTTGGCCAGATAAAAGATAGTAGGATACATTTTCTTTACCAAACCAGCATAAAAACTAGACGTCATAGAGTGTTGGTTAAGAACTGTGCTCCATTCCTGGTTCTGTCGGCTAACTTAAATAGAGGACCTTAGGCAAGCTTCTGGACCCAAGTTTGTCTGTCTATAAAGTGGAAACAGCAGTCTGTTCTACCTAAGATGGTTGTAAGGATTAGTTGGAATGAGGCATGTAAAGTCTTCCTACAGAGCTGAGCACACAAGGAGGCACCATGCCCAGTAACGTGGCTAAGCCATTTCTGCTAGAAGTTCCTGCAGCTGGTAACAAAACAGCTCGCCAGCCCTCGCCACTTGCTGCCTCATGTTGGAGAGAAGGGGAAGAATTGTTGTTATCCTAATGACTTGGTTCTGAATAGCGCAAAAGAGTTGTTTGGTGAAAGGAAACTTCTAAGAAGAGACAGGAATATTGAGAGAAAGCTGCCCATTCATAGCCACAGATGATTGAGTATTCAAATGTGTACTCAAGAGCTCCAAAGTTCAGGGATGGGAGTTTGCCTCTGAACAGAAGACTACAAATGGAGACCTCCAATGGAAAGTGACTTATCAGGTGTTATTTAAAAATCAGTATACTTTCCACACGTAATTCTTCGATGACAGCGATTCCAATAATGAGAAGTTAGGAGACTCCAAAATCTTCAGCTAAAATTCATGGGGATCAGAGCCTTGGATTTTAGAAGGATACACAAAAGATGAGTATAAGGGAGGCACAGAACTGACATGGAAGGTGCCTAAAGCTCAGAAGTTGCCACTTCTCTCCAGAAAGTCAAGGACAATGAAAAAGGGTTCTTTCTTTCCACTTTGAGTGTTTGAAAGTTTTTCTTAGAATAAACTATGGTGACTCTTTTCCTGTAAATTTTGCCATGAAACATTTCTAATAAAAGAATTGTATAATGAGCCCCCATGTACCTCTCACCTAGCGTCACCAATGATCAACTCACAACCCGTCATGTTTCTTCTTCATCTACCTCCACCCCCAGAATATTGTGAAGCAAATTTAAGACCTCTTACTCTTTCATAATTAGAGTATTTCAGTATAGTGCGTATCTCTAAAATATGAAGATCTTTAAAAAAAAAAAAAAAAAAACCACTGCTATTATTATACCTAAAAATACTTAACAATAAATTTTTAATATTAAAATATACAGGGTTCTGATTTCTTAGACTGTCTCAATTTTTCATTTTATTTAAAGAAAGATGCAAATAAGATCCATATGTTATGACTGTGTATGTTCTTTAAGTCTCTAATGGGAGCTTATTTGTTAAACCAGGTTATTTATCCTGTAAATTGTTGTCCACAGTCTAAATCTTAGTAATTGCATACCTGTGGCCTTTCTTCTCCAGTGTATTTTCTGAAGTTGGTAGATAAGATACAGCAGTCTGGTCAAATTCAGGGGCTTGTTTGTTTTTTAAGATGGAGTCTCACTCTGTTACCCAAGCTGGAGTGCAGTGGTGCAGTCTCGGCTTACTGCAGCCTCCACCTCCTGGTTCAAGCAATTCTCCTGCCTCAGTCTCCTGAGAATCTGGAATTACAGGTGCACACCACTGTGCCTGGCTAATTTTTGTATTTTCAGTAGAGACAGAGTTTCACCATGTTGGCCAGGCTGGTCTCAAACTCCTGACCTCAAGTGATCTGCCCACCTGAGCCAGCAGAACAACGTGCCGGGATTACAGGTATGAGCCACCATGTGCAGCCCAGGTTTGATTTTTGCAGGGCTACTTCATAGGGGTTTTTGGGGTATTGGCATCAGGAGGCATATAACTTCCAGTTGTCTTGACTTTTTCTTCATGTTAGCGGTGGTTAGGAGTAATTGCCTAGACCCATTAGTTCATTAGTACTTGCTGGTGATATTCTAATCAAGTGTCCTTATGAATTCACTTAATTTAAATATATTTGTTTTCCAGTCCACTGCATTCTACGTTGACTAGTAATGCTATATTGACTAGTAAATATAGCCTATAAAGACTAAGTCTGGGGATCTTTGAAAAGTCATCTCAGGAAACAGACCAGACAACATCTGCACTAAGCTAGCACCCTCTGTCTTTTCCAGATTTGCTCCTTTTTTAAAGGAAGGCTCTTTCTCACTTTAATTTTTCTAAGTGAAGTTTAGTCTCAGCCTCTGTGCTACTCCATATGCTTTCCCAGCTGAACTATCAGACCAACCAGCTACATAGGTTCCCTGGTGATTAATTTTTCCATGGAGCCCCTGAGGCCTGTAGTCATGCACATATGGTATCTAATGGCTTGGTGGATAACTGAGTTAATGGTGTGTGAAGGTGACCTGAATAAATTTGGAATCAAAACTAATATAGGTTATGGCAAGCTGGTCTCATAAAATTTGGAGTACTTGTATTTTTGCCCAAGTAAGTGTTAGGTAACTCCTTTGGAGAGAAGCTATGTGGTCCTGAGTTCAGAAATTCTGCTAAGGACACAGGAAACCAAATGCCTCCTCTTGTGAACCTTTTAATGAACATGTTCACCTTCCCTCTCTCACATTCTGCTGGAATTCAGAAAATATTCTCCTTTTACAATTATTCTTTCCAAACTGAGAACGCAGATAACTAGGACAGGCAGGATGTCGGTGTGGTTTCATCAGTTTTTCCCAATTTTTCCTGCAGTTTTTTGCAAGCCTTTCCTTCCATGCTTCAGACTGCCACTGTCTTCAGATTGTTTTTTATTGTTTGCAGCCATGTCAGTGAAAAAATACTGAGTTTGACCTCTTAATTTATGGATACTAATTTACTGATAAAAACTGGAGAGTAGTAGAATAATGGTATGTGCAGTATACAAATATTACACTGTAAAGAAACACATTCATACATTTTTCTTGCGTCCCCGTGGATCGTCTTGTGCATCCTACTTTCAGGTTCACTTTTTAGATCAGGCACTGTTTGAGGTGCCAGCAAAACAGTGCTACCCTCCAACCAAACCAAACACCAAAAGCAAAATCCAACGTCAGTTACTTTAAGTCAGAAAATATAGAAAGGAATTATTTTTATTTCAATATGTTTCCTTTGTTTTCAAAAATTAAATTGTATTCAAATCACATGGCAGGACATCATAACCCTTTTAAATGCAGGACTTCTCAAAAAGATTTTAACCTTGTCCTATGTCTACTATTATTTTCATGAAGGAGTCTGTCTTAACAAACACAGATTTAAGTCACACGATACATTCTGTCTGAAAACACATCCCCTAACCCACCTGCCTCCAAATCTAAATGAAATATAATGGTCACTGATTTTTGCTAAAAATAGTTGCTGCAGAGTTCCTTTAAAATAGCAAGTTATTTGGGCCCAGATCTCTACTGAAGTGGGCCATTTTCTACCCCTCTATATGGTTTTTTTTTTTTTTTTACTGGATAAGTGTCACTTCTTTAGCATCTTTTATGCCGACTTTCAGACTTTTGCCTCTCTTTTCCTGTTTCAGACCCTAAAGGTCTTCATTTCTTGGACTCCTGTTTCTTTTACCATGTGTCAATAGAGCAACTTCAGATACTGTTGATCTAGACTAATAACCACAGGCTAATGATCTAGATTATCTGATCAGGTCCTTTCCCCACTGAAGCTTGACATCAAGTAGGAGGAGGGGACATTGAACTCTCCAGCAATGTTTAACCAGGTGGGAGACAGCAATATGTAGAGGATTCGGGCTTCATTAGCTGGGGATAGGGATTGAGTGCTGAGAGAGTTGAGGAGGTAGGTAGTGCTGTTAGTGATCTGCTTGAAGAAAGCACCCAAAAGAGACTACCGCTTGTTCTTCAAAGGGGGTCTTACCTCGGGTGGTGAATGGCAGGATGGCATTTCTAAGCAGGAGAGAGTCTCTTGAACAGACTGGAACCTACAGTTAGTGAGCTTTGGCTGAATCTGTTTGGGTTGCTGTGATACAGTACGATAGACTGGGTGACTTATAAATAACAGAAATTTATTTCTTACAGTTCTAGAGGCTGAAAGTCTGAGATCAGGATGCCAGTATGGTTGGGTTCTGGTGAGGGGCCTCTTCCCAGTTACAGGCAGCCAGTGTCTCTTATCCTCACCTGGTGGAAAGAGTGAGCTAGATCTCTGTTCTCTTCTTAAAAGGGCACTCTTCCTATCCATGAGAACTTCACTCTTGTGACCTCATTACCTCCCACAGGCCCTACCTCCTAGTACTATCACAGCAGGGATAAGGATTTCAACGGTGGGGATATGAATTTTGGGGGACACAAATAGTCAGTGACAACTCTCGACATGGGATGGAGAAGAAAGGCTTGGCTAGAATAGAACCACAAGGTTGAGAACTCATGAGGAGAATTCTGTGTAGTTGGAGTCACTTAACCACATTACTTCATGTCATCCTTTGGACTGCTCCAGGAGGGAGGGTGGTTATTACCTGAAGAGTCTGGGTACAGGTGGGTGAAACCACTTCCCGAGGGCACATAGCCAGCAAAGGGAGATGTCAAAGTTCAAAATCCTGATTTCCTGGCTCTGGGTCCTTCCCCATTTTTCTTGTACCTTTCTTGTAACTTCCTGTAGGGTGTGTCACATTGTCATTGGTAACAGGGCAGAGCTTCAGCACTCACAAGCTGCCTGAGAAATGGGAGGGCAGGGGAAGGTCATAGAAAGTGAGAGATTTTCCAAAACCATTGACAAGTATGAGACCTCAGCTTTGCTTTGTTGGTGTATTTTAATTGTTTCTGTTTTCAAACTGCTGCTTGCAAATTAGACACTTTAGCTGCTTTTCCTTTCAAATATTTATTTGCAGCATTTTAGATTCAAAGGTACTCTAATTAGTCTGATCACTTTTATTTTACTATCTTCTTGTTTTCAAGAAATCAAGAATGAGGTGAAGAAATTTCAACAGGCATGTGATTTATTTTGAGGAGAGGGTTGGAGAGGGTATTTTTAACTTTTGTCTTAAAAATGAGCTCTTCATTTAAAGCCTGGTGGTCAGCTGTCCTTTAAAGGGATCTTACACTGCCATACCTGAATCAGAATCTCAGTCTATGTACCTCACAAACAAAGAGAGGTGCCTGGAATTTAGAAGTTTGTTCTTAGCTTGGTGGGAGCAGAGGAAGAAGCCCAAGAGAGTCTTATGTTTTAAATGGCCTAGTTTGTCACATGTCTGGTCCCAGCCTACAACAACAGCGTGTTGACACTGGTATTCTGAGGGGAGAGATTATGTTCATTATTACCAATGGACGCATCTGTCATCATGAAGCGTGGGTATTAATGCATATGGCACGGGGCTGAGTGCCTCAGCAAGGAAATTTAGCAAGCACAGCCCTACAAGTAGAGCTTAAAACTAGAACTGCACCTTAGTGATGTGGCATGGTGGAAACCAACCTGTGACATCCCACCCAGAAGGGGGCACCCCTGGGTCAGTGAGCCCTGCACTGAGGACAGAAAGCCCTTTGGTGAGAGATGCCATCCCACATCTCAGGAAGGCATTGCATTTTCTGAGGTCCGTGGTGTGCACTGTGTCAGCCATAACTAAGTGCTGAGTAGAGTTCTTTCAGATGCATGAGCCTTGGGGAGAGTCAATGTGTGAGAGAAAGAGAATGTGCCCTTCACATAATAATTTTAAAATCTCATTTGTTTCTGTGAACATCCACATGAGATAATAGGGCAAGTTTAATATTCCCTCATTTTACAGATAAGAAAACTGAAGCTTGGAAACTTACTGAAGTCCCATAAGAAGTTAGTCAGAGAACTGGAATAAAAACCCAGATTACTTCATTCTTGACCCCAAACTGCCTGCTACATTTTGCACAAATGTGTATAGGGCCCTAGAAAAGGCCGGATTACCTCAGATCAGTGTGGGAGGGCTGGCCTGCCTGTGTAAAGGCTATTTACAGACAGAGACCAATTCTCCCGTCTCTGCTCTGAGTAATTAATGCCACCCCTTCTGTGAGACTGCTGGTAAGAGCCACCAAGCATAAGGATCTTCAAAAAGTCTTGTCTTTTTGAAGCACTGCTGTTTACCCTGCATATAATTATTATAACGTTGAGAGCTTCCTGGCACATGAAATTAGGTCTTACTTGGAGTCTGTCATCCCCCTGTGCAGACCATGAAGTTAAGAGCTGGGATGGCACCAGAAGGGGCATTGCGA